GACTACTTTAAGGCTGACCCTGAAGGAGAAACAAATTAAAAAGAGAAAAAAATGAAAGGACCAAATTCAGGAGACTTCGGTCTTCAAGTACATGTGACCAGAAGTCTTTAAATTGTTAGGCACAAACCCCATTAAAAATAATAATGCGGGGGGCGCCTGAGTGGCTCAGTGGGTTAAAGCCTCTGCCTTCGGCTCAGGTCATGATCCCAGGGTCCTAGGATCGAGCCCCACATCAGGCTCTCTGCTCAGCGGGGAGCCTGCTTTCCCCTCGCTCTCTGCCTGCCTCTCTGCTTACTTGTGATCTCTGTCTGTCAAATAAATAAATTAAATAATAATAATGCCTGGGGCACCTGGGTGGCTCAGTGGATTAAGCCTCTGCCTTTGGCTTGGTTCATGGTCTCACAGTCCTGGGATCGAGTCCCGCATCAGGCTCTCTGCTCAACAAGGAGCCTGCTTCCCTCCTCTCTCTGCCTGCCTCTCTGATTACTTGTGATCTCTCTGTCAAATAAATAAATAAAATCTTAAAAAATAAAAAGAGTCGAAAAATAATAAAGCCTGTGCAGAGTTGAACACTGGCACAAAAGGATTTCCCAACTATCTGCTGGCCACAGGGAAATTTATCAGGTTGGGAGGAAGACAGTTCCAACCACAGTGCATGGTTTCTTTAAGAAAGACATGGGCCCTCCAAAACCTGCCCTCAAATCACTGCTAAATCAGGGAAAAGCAGACAGCACATGGGGACGCGCTCACGAGAGCTACGGTAGGAACTTTAGAGAGGTCAGATGTGGGCCGCAAGAAAGAGGAACTTTTAAAAGTTCTTGTGTGCGGGATGCCTGGGTGGCTCAGTCAGTTAAGCATCTGTCTTCAGCTCAGGTCGTGATCCCAGGGTCCTGGGATCAAGTTCTGCATCGGGCTCCCTGCTCAAGGACAGCTTGCCTCTCCCTCTGCTCATACTTGTGCATCACACATGTGTGCTCTCTCGCTCTCTCTCTCCCTGACAAATAAAATATAAAATCTTTAAAAGTAACTTTTTTTACATAAAAATTTTTGTGTGTAAACCTTTGGAATTTGGAAGTATTTAGATACAATAAGACTGAGTGTAATTTTGAAATATTTTAAATAATTGTGGAAGTTTGTCGTCGCCATACCACTGCTGGCATGATATATTAGTGGCACATCATTTAGAAGCTGGAATTCTTAATGAAAAGCCAAACTTCTAATTATCAGGTATTCATTCAGAAATTGAATCTGTTTTACTAGAATTTGCTTTACAATACAACAGAGAATGAGAATGGTATCTGCCCTGGAAATCAGCTGAAACCAGGGCCTGAACTCAGGGAGAAGGAGCATGTACTCTGGAGTCCACTCACTTCTCATATTTAGCCAGGAGAAAACCCTCAAAGGTCATCTAGTCCAGATGCTTCAGCAACAGCTGAGAAAACAGACCAGGGGCAGAAGTGACATAGCAAGTTATAGAAGTTATTTACCAGAAATAAGCCTCCCCAAGACCCTAAGAGATCAGGGGCAGAGATGGTTGGGGTGCGGTGGTTATACCTGAGGCAGCAACAGACGGCTGCTGACAATGGGAGGCAAGGCAGAAAAATGAGAGTTTATTGCAAAATAGTGATGATCTTAAGAATAAAACATGAATCCAAGTCATTATGAAAATATCTCAATAAACATGGTATTCTCCATTAAAAAAATTTTTAAAAAAGAAGTCCCTGATATATCGTAGCGTGGTTTTCCATCAAGAATATTTAAAGGTAAACAGAGCTCTCGTTCAAAGAGGTCAGCGCCAGGTGTCTGGAAGGTTAATTCCAGTAGAATACCTTCATGCTCAACAAGGCTAGATAATTTGTTGTATATGCAGGTGCCCGTTTTTTCAAGAATAGAGGAAGTTTTTGAGAGGTACACACATTTCATGGACAATAAAGCTAATACTCTGAATTCTGAGGGTTAAAATATCTTTTACCCAGATGACAAGTTATCTAAATTACCTGAAAATTATTGACTACAAATAAGTCCTCAAGAATGTACAGTACTTAAGCATTACTAATTACCTCTCCCAAGGCCACACATATGTCAAACAGCACCTTATCAATCCAATGATGTTGTGGGAGTCCAAAGACAGGCAGATGATGTAGATAAGAATTTATGACTCTGGCATGAAGTAAGAAGAACATTCGCTCTACATGATCTCTGTCCCATGATGGGGAGAGTCTTCCCTTGCCATCCCCCCTCCCTCCATAGCTCACCTTTACCTCTTAGCAACAGAACAAGGAGGTGACTCTGTCAGAAGACTCATCTTCTATTTCTAGATGTTAAATGTGTTCCTTCCCATGTTCCTAGTGCCACCCTCTTCCTCACCTCCACCTCACCACCTTCATCACCTCTACAATGAACAAGCTTCTAAAGACCCTCCTGAGGTGATCTCATCCCTGTGTATGGCACCTCCAGGTGGGCAGGCCTAGCCACGCGCTGGGCTTGCTCACACATATGTCCAGTCCACTGTGCTGGGAACCTGGATTCATGCTTTACCTTTACGTTCTGTGCCAAAACATTAGCTACTTTTACCTCAGCCAGTTTCTTTGCCTCACAGTCACTTAAACACAATTTTGAAGAAAGAACAGGAAACTTAGAGCCAGAAAATCCAGGGTCGAATCCCAGCTCCAGCATCCAAATTGAGCTCGGGGACTGAAAACAAGTTACTTTTCCTTCTGAGCCTTAGATCCTAAGTGAAAAAGAAGAGAATTGTGCAGAGTAAATGCACACTTTGTGTCTGTGCCTTAAAGTGCCTGGCACACAGCAGGTGCTCAGTAGAGGCCTGTTTCCTTCCCTTCCTCTCTCCCTGGCTTCCCACTTACAACTTCTGGCAAGAACTTCTTTCCCTTCAGAATATTTTCTCCTATCTCTACTCACTGACCCCTTTCCATATGCTTCCTGTTGGCATCATCCTCTACACCTGAATCACAAAGAGGGTTTGGAAAACCTATACTGGGAAATATGATTATAAAGCATTGCCAAACATGGGTCACAAAACAGAAGTAACAAGGGGCACCTGGGTGGCTCAGTGGGTTAAGTGCCTGCCTTCCGCTCAGGTCATGATCTCAGGGTCCTGGGATCGAACCCCACATCAGGCTCACTCCTCAGCAGGCAGCCCACTTTCCCCTCTCTCTGTCTGCTTTTCTGCCTACTTGTGAGCTCTCTGTCAAACAAACAAATAAAATCTTTAAAAAAAAACCCAAACCTTTAAAAAATAAAAAAAAAAAAAATAGAAGTAACAAAACTTCCCAACAGGGCTCAACTACAGAGATCTGTCTGATGACCGAGAATCAGAGGCCCCTGACACTCCTAGGCCACCTGTAATCCTTCCTCCTTATTTGCCAGACTTAGCAAATAAAAATGGATGATGCCCAGATAAATTTTATTTTCAGATATACAACAGATGTGTTTCTGGTGAGTCCCAAGTATTGTAGTAGAAAAGGAAAATGCCTCCCTAGCAAAGAAAAAAAGCCACAGAGAAAGGAAAAATAAAGACTATGACTGTCACAGAATGAGATGGCTGTCCCTTCCACCCAGTATCATCCTAGAGAGCTTAAATTTTTCTGACCAAAGGGAGATTCCTGCCAGAGTCTTAGAGTCCTAGGAAGTACTGGGAGGAAGTGAATAATGGCCAAGGTCTTTCAAGTCCATTAAGCACCAGTGGTTAGTGAACAAGCTTTGAAGACTGCAGTTGCCTCAGTGTTCTCAAGGTCTATACAAAATCCACCCACTACATGCTTGATACATGACTTTTATGGTAGTATTTACTCATTAATTTGTTTAAACATAATTTTGTTCAATGAGTGAATGTATTTTATATTTCATATAATCCTAAGAATGTTGGAAAAGTGAAAATAAACCACCTATACACAAATGCAAGTGAGTTCTCTCTCTATTTGGAGTTGCATTTTCTGTTTTAAATGAACAAGAGTAAAAAAAAAAAAAAGAAAGAAAGAAAAAGGGAGATAAAACTACACAGAAAAACACACATATGTTAACATACAAACGGAAACATCAGCTCTCGTGAAGATGATTGCAAAAACTTCTCAATTGGGACTCCCTGCTTCCACTCATCCACTCTCTTCTCAAATCAGCAGCCAGAAATATCCCTCTAAAAAATGAGTCCCACCATGTCACTTTTTGCTCAAAGTCTTCTGGTGGCTTCCCATCTCACTCTGAATAAAAGCTGAAGTCTTTCTAGCAGCCTGCAAGTCCCTGTAGAACTTGCCATCCACTCCTTTTACGCCCCCGGCCTCCCTTTCTCCTGCCCAGCTTACTTACTCCAACCACACTGGCCCCTGCCTACAACACTCTTGCCCAGGATACCCCTGTACTTGAATTTGTCCTCCTTCAAATCTTTGCACTGATGCCAACTTCCCTGCAATGCCTTCTATGGCCACTTTTTCAAATCATAAACCCCATTCCTAGTACTCCCTATCTCCCTTCTTGCTATATTCTTCTCCATAAAACCAATCCCCATCAACCTAGTATATACTGCACTGAGTTGGAATTTTGTGTCTCTCCCCACTAGATTATACCGCAGAAATGTTGGCATTTTGGTCACTGCAGCATCCCAAGCATGTAGAACAGTACATGGCACATAGTGGGCACTCAACAAAATTCCTTATTGACTGTTCAATAGACGTAAGGTAAAAAGAATGAGTTATATGGAGTAAAATGTATTTACTACAAGCTAAGCAAGGAATAACTGTGGGGTTTTCTTCAAGATCTCCTAGTTGAAAACCAGCTCTTCTGCTAAAGCCCCTAATTTGCTTTCTTCTTTTCCTAATCAGAAAGCTAGCAGGAACCAGAGGGGAATGTCATTTTCTTGCTTCTGATATCAATATTTCAAAATGTAGGTCATAGCATTCTCCTCATTGGCATTTTATAAATAGCATAACTTTTTTTAAAAAGTACATATTTGCCTGAAGTAACATCCTTTTAGAGTGCTTCCCTTAAGCTTTGTGCAGTGGCAGTATCGTACCCAATGAGGTTTATCCGAGGCACGATTATTGCTAATAGAGTGCTTCCCTTAAATGTAAATGGACTAAATTCTCCAATAAAAATGCAGAGTAGCTGAATGGATTAAAAAAACAAACACTTGAGACCCATCTATATACTGCCTACAAGAGATTCACTTAAGATGTAAAGACACAAATACAGACAGTGAAGTTCTGGAAAAAGATATTGCATATAGATGGAAACCAAAAGAAAGCTAAGCTAGCTATAACAGACAAAAAAGACTTTAAAACAAGGACTGTGATAAAAGACAAAGAGCATTATTTGATGTTAAAGAAGTCAACCCAACAAGAGAATATAATATTTGTAAATGTATATGTACCTAACATAGGAGTACCTAAATACATAAAGCAAATATTAACAGACCTAAAGAAAGAAATAGATAGCAATACAATAATAGTATGGGGCTTTAATATCTCACTTTCATCAATGGATAGATCATCTCAGACAGATTATCAGGAAGGAAGTATCAGCCTTAAATGACATGTTAGGCCTGGTGAACTTTATAGATATATACAGAATATTCTATCCAAAAACAGAATACACATTCCTCTCAAGTTCATATGGAACATTCTCCAGTATAGACCATTATGTTATGCCACAAGATAATTCTTAATAAATTTAAGATGACTGAAATCAAATCAAGAATCTTTTCTGAGCACAATAGTATGAAACTAAATTCAATTACCAGAAGAAAACTGAAAAATTCACAGAGATGTGGAGATTAAAGAACATACTATGGAACAACCAATGTGTGAAAGAATAAAAGATTAATAATAATAAAAAAAAACCTCGAGACAAAAGAAAACAGAAATATAATACACCAAAACTAATGGGATGCTGCAAAAGTTCCAAGAAGGAAGTACATAGCAATAAATGTCTACACCTCAAGAAACAAGAAAAATAAACAAATAAACAACCTAACATTACACCTCAAGGAATTAGAAAAATAACAAAGCCCAAAATTAATAGAAGAAAGGAAAAAACAAAGATGAGAGGAGAAATAAATGAAATAGAGACTAAAAAGGCAATAGAAAATATCAATGACATTAATGGCTGGTTCTTTAGAAAGACAGACAAAATTGACAAACTTTTAACTAGACTCACTAAGAAGAGAGGATTCAAATAAATAAAATCAAAAATGAAAGAGAAGACATATTCCAAATGATACCACAGAAATACAAAGGATCTTAAGAGAGTACAATGAACAATTATACACCAACAAACTGGACAACCTGAAAGAAAAGAATAAACACCTAGAAACATACAACCTACTAAGACTAAATCAGGAAGAAATAAAAAATCTGAACAGTCCAGTTACTAATAAGGAGATTGAAAGAGTAATCAAAATCTCCCAACAAACAAAAGTCAACCAAAGAGCCTCAGTGGTGAAGTCTACCAAACATTTAAAGAATAGCAATCCTTTTCAAACTCATCCAAAAAACAGAAAAGGAGAGAACACTTCCAAATTCATTTTAAAATGCAGCATTACCTTGGTACTGAAACTAGACAAGAATATCACAGAAAAGAAAATTATAGGTCAGTTGGGTAACACATGTTAACAAGACTTATTGTGGTGATCATTTCACAATATATACAAATATGTAATCATTATATTGTATACTCGAAACTAATACTATGTTGCATGTCAATTACACCTCAATTTTAAAAAGAAAGAACATTACAGGCCAATATCCATGATAGACATAGATGCATAGATCCTCAACACAATATTAGCAAACTGAAAAAAAACCACATTAAAAGAATCCTACATAATGATCAAGTCAAATTTACTCCAGCTATGCAAGGATGGTTCGAGATCCATGAATCAATCAATGTGATACACTACCCTAACAAAATGAAATCATAGCAATCATATGATCAGTTCAGTAGATGCAGAAAAAGCAGTGTTAATAAAATTCAATATTCCTATATGATAAAACCTCTCAACAAAGTAGATATAGAGGGAACATACCTCAATATAAGGCCATATATGATAAGCTCACAGTGAAAATCCACACTCAACAGTGAAAATCCAAAGCTTTATCTCTAAGATTAGGAACAAGGATGCTCACTCTCTACTTTATTCAACATAGTACTAGAAATCCTAGCCAGAGTGATTAGACAAGAAAAAGAAATAAAATGCCACCACACAGGAAAGGAAGAAATAAAACTACTACTATTTGCATATCACACGACATTACATACAGAAAATCCTAAAAACCCCACCAAAATACTGTTAGAACTAATAAAGAAATTCAGCCAAGTTCCAGGATACAAACTCAATACACAAAAATCTGCTGCATTTCTATACACGGATAGGAACATTCCAAAATAGAAATTAAGAAAATAATTCCATTTATAATTACATCAAAAAGAATAAAATATCTAAGAATAAATTTAACCAAAGAGATGAATATTCTGTACACTGAAAACTGTAAGCCTCTAATAAAAATAAATTGAAAAAGGGGCACCTGGGTGTCTCAGTGGGTTAAAGCCTCTGCCTTTGGCCCAGGTCATGATCCCAGGGTCCTGGGTTCAAGCCCTGCATCAGGCTCTCTGCTCAGCAGGGAGCCAGCTTCCCCATCTCTCTCTGCCTACCTCTCTGCCTACTTGTGATCTCTGTCAAATAAATGAATAAAATCTTTAAAATAAATAAATAATAAGATATTCTATGCTCATGGATTAGAATATCACTAGAATGTCCCTACTATCCAAAACAACCTACAGATCGAATGTAATTCCCATCAAAATTTTAATGTACTGGGGCTCCTAGGTGGCTCAGTTGGTTAAGCATCTGCCTTCAGCTCAAGTCATGATCCCAGGGTCCTGGGATCAAGTCCCATCCTGGGCTCCCTGCTCAGCAAGGAATCTGCTTCTCCCTCTCCCTCTGCCTCCTCCCCACACTCCCCACTCATGCTCTCTCATTCTCTGTAAAATAAATAAATAAAATCTTTTTTAAAAAAAGATTTTATTTATTTATTTGTCAGAGAGACAGAGAGGGCACAGGTAGGCAGAGTGGCAGGCAGAGGCAGACAGAGAATCAGGCTCCCTGCAGAGCAAGGAGCCTGATGTGTGACTCAATCCCAGGTTGCTGGGATCATGACCTGAGCCAAAGGCAGCCGCTTAACCAACTGAGCCACACAGGCGTCCCATAAATAAAATCTTTTAACAAAATTCCAATGCAGTTTTCACAGAAAAAAAAAAAAAAAACTCTAAAAATTCTAAAATTTGAAGAGAACCACAAAAACTCCTGAGTAGCCAAAGCAATCTTGAGGAAGAACAACAAAGCTAGAGATATCACACTGTCTTATTTCAAACTATATTACAAAACTACACTAATCAAAACAGTAAGACTTGGACATAAAACAGACATACAGATCAGTGGAACAGAATACAGAGTCCAGAAATAAACCCATGCACATACAGTCATTTAATTAATGACAAAGAAGCCAAGAATATAAAATGGGGAGAGGACAGTCTCTTCAATAAATGGTATTAGAAAAACTGGATAACCCTATGCAAAAGAATGAAACTGGGCCACTATCTTACATCATCCACAAAAATTAACTCAAAGTAATTAAAGACTTTAATGTTACACCTGAAACCATAAAACTCCCAGAAGAAAGCATGGATGGTAAGTTCTTAGACATCAGCCTTGGCAATTAGTTTTTGAATCTGACACCAAAAGCAAAAGCAACAAAAGCAAAAATAACAAATGGGACTACATCAAACTAAAATACTTCTTTCTGTACAACAAAGGAAACCATCAACAAAACGAAAAGGCAACCTACTAAATGGAAAAAGTATTTGCAAATCATACACCCGACACAGAGTTAATATATAAAATATATAAAGAACTCATACATTTTCAAAATTCCTTTGGCTATTTGAGGTCTTTTCTGGTTCCATATAAATTTTAGGTTTATTTATTCCATTTCTTTGAAAAAAATGGATGGTATTTTGATAGGCATTGCATTAAATGTGTAGATTGCTTTAGGTAGCATTGACATTTTCATAATATTTGTTCTTCCAATCCAGGAGCATGGAACATTTTTCCATTTCTTTGTGTCTTCCTCAATTTCTTTCATGAGTACTTTATAGTTTTCTGAGTATAGATTCTTAGCCTCTTTGGTTAGGTTTATTCCTAGGTATCTTATGGTTTTAGGTGCAATTGTAAATGGGATTGACTCCTTAATTTCTCTTTCTTCTGTCTTGTTGTTGGTGTAGAGAAATGCAAATGATTTCTGTGCATTGATTTTATATCCTGACACTTTACTGAATTCCTGTACAAGTTCTAGCAGTTTTGGAGTAGAGTCTTTTGGGATTTCCACATATAGTATCATATCATCTGTGAAGAGTGATAGTTTGACTTCTTCTTTGCCGATTTGGACAGCATGGTACTGACACAAAAACAGGCACATAGATCAACGGAACAGAATAGAGAGCCCAGAAATAGACCCTCAACTCTATGGTCAACTAATCTTCGACAAAGCAGGAAAGAATGTCCAATGGAAAAAAGACAGCCTCTTCAATAAATGGTGCTGGGAAAATTGGACAGCCACATGCAGAAAAATGAAATTGGACCATTTCCTTACACCACACACAAAAATAGACTCAAAATGGATGAAGGACCTCAATGTGAGAAAGGAATCCATCCAAATCCTTGAGGAGAACACAGGCAGCAACCTCTTTGACCTAAGCCGCAGCAACATCTTCCTAGGAACATCGCCAAAGGCAAGGGAAGCAAGGGCAAAAATGAACTATTGGGATTTCATCAAAATCAAAAGCTTTTGCACAGCAAAGGAAACGGTTACCAAAACCAGAAGACAACTGACAGAATGGGAGAAGATATTTGCAAACAACATATCAGATAAAGGGCTAGTGTCCAAAATCTATAAAGAACTTAGCAAACTCAACACCCAAAGAACAAAGAATCCAATCAAGAAATGGGCAAAGGACATGAACAGACATTTCTGCAAAGAAGACATCCAGATGGCCAAGAAACACATAAAAAAGTGCTCCACATCACTCGGCACCAGAGAAATACAAATCAAAACCACAATGAGATATCAC